TGATTATTAGATTATTAGATTAATAAACCACTAATACTTTTCTACGGGTAATAAATGGGAACGTTGCTACGTATTGTTATGTACCCTTGTAGCTAACAATTTGCTTCGTCAAGTTGCAAAGCAACCAACTTTATCATGCATGGTTGCCATGGTAACACCTGCTTCGAAAACTACTTCATGGCATTACGATGGCAAACAATACAACTTTTTGACATTTGCCGCATTCCACGCAAAGCGGACAGGTAAAAAAATTTGATGTTTCCGATTTTAGTAATATTTGATTATGTTATACGTATATGTGTCCTCAGTCCAGATACAAAATATTTTTGCCGTATAAAACGTAGTTTACGATTTAGAGAGCTTTAAAAATGTGACTAAAGGGCAGGTATGCGCCACTTCGAATCCCATTATCCGGTATTGAAAAGATAAATGGAATTAAATGAAGTAGTCAAGTATATGCTTAATTTACTGAGCTTTCTAATTGCATTTTTGGATATAAAAAAAAAATTTTTTTGAAAAAAAAATCATGTTCAAACGATATTATGTTTCGATTAATGTTTATTTAAAAAAAATCAATTTTATAATCTTCACTTTTACTCAACATTTTAAAATTTGACACCAATGTGTTATTGCAGATAAGAGCAAAGCTTAAATTATGGAGGAAATGTAATGCTATAAGATGATTTAAATCACGACAGATAATTTTTATACCTTTCGAAATCTTTAGCATCAATATCTTCAAATCAAAAGATAAGTCCAAAAATATATTAATATTATTGGCGTGGAACAACAACACTTAATATAGATTTAGTATAATTAATTTGTTCTATTTCAAAAATAGATTTGTGTACAGAGGCGGAATTTTGTCTTCATGTTACTCACATGGCAAAGGGACGGGTGACGGTTTTGAAAATACATTATAACACCCCAGTATTTGTATCAATCGCACCGTGCGTAGAATAACTTTCTGCGTTAGTTATTGTCTAAGCTTTCAGATAACATTTTTTTTTTCGTCTGACTTATAGATACAACGATCTATCTGATTTGTGCTCCGCAATACAAGGACATACGTACGTTTATACACTGTTTTTTTGTACTGACAAGCTTACTTATGTAATAGACGTAAAATACTCTATAGAGTCAATTGATAATTATTGCACAGTCACCCACTTTTTTATGAATTTACATATTACCTGAGTTTTTAGTAGAACAACGTTATAAATGAACTTGTGACCCATCAGTTTATGCCATTTTCCGTAGGAAAACGTCACTATTACACATGAAACCTCTTATTTCCTAAATTTATATAATTATTTATTCAAAAAGTATAATTTTTGTTTATATACCTAATCATATAACAAACCTCAAAAATTTTAATAGCAACTGCTCTGTATAAGATTTGTGTACAGTAGAAAACTATAACCAAAATAAAAAAAAGTATAATTTGAATCAGCCGTCCTGAACAATTACAATTTTGCAGATGTCACGTTCTACGCAGCGTGCGAAATGGCTTCAATATCAATGCGGCAAAGTAATCTTACTATGTTTATATACGGAAAGGAAAAACGCAGAAGAAACATGAAGATTCTTTAATTAACATTTATAAGTAATCGAAACATAATAACGTCGTTTAATTGTAAATTTAAGTACATCTAAGTAAGATCAAATGATTTATTAAACTCAATTAGGTAAAAAAAATATACTGTTGGAAGTTTTTGTAATCTCGCGTTAGCTGGCAGAAGGCGCGACCCGGGCACCGGCGCTACCCTTCGACACTGTAGATGGCCTAGCTCCTAAAGGACTTCTCGGCCCATTATGAAACTTGGTAAGGACCATCTATACACTATTAGCTAGTTTTAGAAGAAAAATAAAAAAAATTAAAGTGGTCCAACTTTGTGAAATTCAAGTTTAAAAAGTTTGAACATGATTTTTTTTAATATCCAAAAATGCAATTAGAAAGCTCAGTAAATTAAGCATATACTTGACTACTTCATTTATTTCCATTTATCTTTTCAATACCGGATAATGGGATTCAAAGTGGCGCATACTTGCCCGTTAGTCACATTTTTAAACCTCTCTAAATCGTAAACTACGTTTTATACTGTAAAAATATTTTGTATCTGGACTGAGGACACATATAGGTATAACATAATCAAATATTACTAAAATCGGAAACATCAAATTTTTTTACCTGTCCGCTTCCCCACATGCCCCATGCCGAATGCCCCATTTACCAATACTTCCAAGTTATTTAAATAAAGCGTTATTTATGGCATTTAATGTCTAAGCTAAAAAGTATAACTTCTTACTTAACACTAAACGTTGTTAGATTTAGTAGGGCCACGAAACAGTCTTCACTGCTGCATGAATGGTCCGGTCCGTCCGGGTAAGTGCCACCAAAGACCTGCCTGAAGTGGAAGAATTATACTTCTGCGTTTTGTGTGGTGAGTGAGGTAGCCGTGGCCCACTTTATTAAAAGTTCGCAACGCATATGCAACACTACGGGTGTTACAAATGTCAATGGAGAGCGGTTGTCACTTAACATCAGGTGAACCGCCAGCTCGCTTGTCACCTTCTCACATTCAAAGTCAAAGTCAAGGTATCTTTATTCAATATAGGCTTTACTTAAGCTCTTATTGAACGTCAACAAAAAATCTACCACCGGTTCACTAAACTAGACCTGATTATACTATATATTACGATACTGTCCTTGGAATATGATTATTATGTACCTATTTTGTGTCTCACAAGAAACTCAGGCCATCTATTATAACTCTTGAATGACCTAATTTCTTCGTATACCAAAGGCATCTACGGAAACTGATTATCACAGTACCTCTTACTTCCTAACGTTTGACGCATTTGGACGTGCTCCATCCACCTTTTTTTTTTCACTTTGAACTGTCATGTCATCGTCAGATAAAGTCCTAGTTACGGAAAAGTCTATTACGCACGTCACTAAGAAACGAAGTTAGACGACAGATCTAAAGTTATACAAATTAAATGTTGAAGGCATAACTTTTAACTAAGAGGAACCTCATTTCGAAATGGCGGTAGATTTAAAAAGTAATTATCTATAGATGAAATTTATACATATTTCTTATTTTTATGAATAATTGTTTTCATTTGATTTAACACCATTCAAATTTCCTTCAAATCCGCACAGCTTTTGTTACGGAAAGAAGAATTGTTGAATTATAATATTGACGCTTCTAATACTTAAGTGACATCGTACGTAACGAGGCATATATATGTTCCACCGCTGGGCAACAGCCTCCTCTGTATAGAGGGTATCAGGGCATAATCCACCACGCAGCAGCCCCACAACGGATTGACAAACTTCACATATCTTCATAAAAAAATATTTATTTTATTATTATTTCCAAAATATTCAGGTTTACTCACGAAGTTTTCCTTCACCGCTGAGCACGTAATAATATTTAATATAATAATATTTAATAAGAGTAGATATAGTTAATCCCAAAAATAACAGTATCGCTTTTGCACCTTGTTTCCATATCCAGGGCGTGACATTGTTCATAACAATTAAGAAGAATACATTCGACCAAACAGCCACTTGAAGTTACAAAGTGAACGACAAAAGGAACAAATGACCGTTACCGATTTTTTTCTCATGTACCTACAATTTAGATCCTTTGTATGGACCCCTAAGTGGCTCCAAATGTTTGCTAACCGTTCCTATATTGTTGCAATAGATTTAAATATTTCGCAGGATAATGGGTTTTTGCGATCACCTTTGGCAACAGTCCGCGGCCGCATCTTTGCCAGCACGGTGGCCCATTATGCACTGACCCTGGTACTGTCTTCGTTACGACTTTTCCTTTCATCGGCCGCTTTGAAACGGAATACAATCGGTGCAGCAGATGCAGGGATTACGTTATCACGTTTCCCTCGAAGCGCAACAATGACCTCTCACGATAATGAGCTTAGAGTTTACCCACAAGTGCATTGTCCGCCTTCGACTGCGGTTCACACGTTTCTCAGCAGCTACGCGGAAACGGTAGCCTACGTACGAACTTTTACTTTGTTTATGGGATTAACGGGCTATTGCCAAATTTGGTCATGACAACTTGTATGTATTTTCAACATGTTCGTTTATTTACACCTAGTCGTCAATTACAAGTGACATCGAAAAGTAATTGAAGGGGCAGAATCGTTGAGAATCGGATCGTATACCAAAATAAAGATTACTTTTAAATTCTATAATGGCATAGTTTGACTTTCCACGATTTTCCAACTGATAACGGTTTATGGGTCATATTAGACACACATAAAAAATAAAGAGAACAAAAATGATAAAAGCATATATCTTACCTACCTTATTACCGATAATTAACTCATCACGATATGTCTGGAACCATAAGGCGTAGAAACTTGAAATTTGGTAGGAATATTCGTAGGTAGGAATGTCCTTTCGCCGGGTAGAGGTCAACTAAGAACGTATTTTACGAAATTCCATCAAATTATTTATTGGCACCAGATGTATAGCTTGTAATTTATATTGGCAAAACAAAGTTTGCCAGATCAGCTATATTTTTATAAAATAATAAGCAGATATATGGACTGCCGACAGAAGTAAACACTTAAAACTGGAATCACTCTGTTTTTTAACTTTTTAAATGAATGCAGTATGAATGAATAATTAACCTCACAAAACAATAATCTTAATGCAAAATATTTTATTTCTGACAATTTAAACCAATAAACAAACAATTTTGAGCAATTAAATTTAATACAGTTACGAGTATACAGAATATTAATTTTCAAATGCGCTAGAAAATACTATTAAACAAGATATTGTTTACAGATATCAAATATTAGAAAACCAAATGATATCAAAATTTTAAAATCACTGACAAAATACGGTGACGCGGACCTATGAATATTTCCCCACCCAAAACTTCCCAACGTAGAAGTTTTTAATTAAAAAAAATGCATGTAAAATATTTTTTTAATAGAAAGTATGACCACCGTAGTTATTTAGAGCCTAGATAGACGAATAAGCGATTCATCAATTCTTCTTGGTTATTGATCTCATACTGCAGTAATCGCTCCCAATAAAGCTTGGCAGAACGTGAATCTTCTCCCGCAAGAACAGTTGCTGTAAGACAATGTGCGTCGTCGTGCATCAGAGCAAAGTGTGAAGCTGCAGAATGTTTATGACGTAAGAATCAGCGTCCTAGTTACCATTTATGAAAATAAGCTTAGACCGTTGGACCACCTTATCGGACGTGGTGCGTGAAGGCCATATTCATGCAGTTCGTTTCGTACATTTTGGGGGCTAGAAATTGCACTAGTCGAGTTTTCTTTAGCCTTAACCCTACCTCTCGTCATCTAAAGTTCGCGTCTCGCGTGATCTGCATGAATTGTTTCGATCTTGTGTTGAACCGGGATCCTGTTCTGTTGGGTACCGTGTATTGGTGCAGCAGCGCCGAAGGCGGTTATTTTAACTTCGTTTTATATCAAAAGCCCGCGCCACCTCCGATTGATTGCTTTCAATTTGTAGCAAGTCTACAGCTCCTTACATTTCATCCCTTGTTAAATGTCGTCGCTGCATAACGCATTTTCAATAATTTTTGAGATTTAGAAACAATGAATGTTGTTAACGTTAAAAGTAGTCGTAATTCTCCATCAATGCTGTCAACTTTTCCTCACAATATTTTACTTCACAGCTAAGCACGTTCTCACAATTCCGTTGACTATGGCACCGGGATTTGCATTCAGGTCGCTTGAGTATAAAATTAAAAAGGGATAGCCCGGACACTGAGCTTTCACGGCTACCATAAAACTTAGGCTCAGTATAAAATAGTAATGATAAAAATGTTTACAGTATTGAGCACATAATACCATTGAGATTAATTCCAATTTAAATGCAAGACCTTTAAAGCTGTACGCAAAATCCTAAGAACTATTCGAGTCATATGCATTACGTACGTAAGAAGCGTTATTACTAAATGATTATATATTCGAGCAAACTAGTATTATTTCGTAAACATTTCATAATAACTTAAACATAAATATGTGGCAAATATCACTTTCTATTGACGGAATAAAAACTTTTCGTTTTTCGAAAGTCATTTTGATTTTGCTAAACTTGAATTAAAATTAAAAACGCAGCGCAGTTGTTAACTCTAAAAGTTACTAAGCATTTGCCCATTATATTTAAAGCAAATTCGTATTAACATCATTTTCATCCCATAGGGCTAAACTTAATCAAAATATTTGTTAAGCCACTGTAATATGCTTAGTATTTCAGTGGCTTAACAAATACGGATAACACGAGGCCTTAGTTCTTTTCGAATATATCCAAGTTATCGTATACATTTAATACTATCGAAGTTTAGGCGAAATTTATACAATTCTAGTGCCACAAAGATATACATAAGTTTCCGCTTGATTAAGAGCTCCGAAACGAAAAGACGAACACTAGCTTTCATTGATAATTTCCAAACAAATGATGCTTATTTGTAATTGAATGATGTTTCCCTAGCGCGTTCGTTTTTTTGGAACAGGAATTCCACTAGAGGTATCAATCAAACATGCGTTTAATGTACGAGTAATGAGATTTTTAGCGAAATAAGTACATTTGTTATGCCAGCATCCATTGATTAAGCCACCCACGCTTAGTCGTGCGCAGAGATCCGTCACTTGCGAACCCGTAGGTATTAGGCGGTGTTTGGACACGCGGAAAAATGGCTGCTCGGAGCGCGCTCTCGCCACGCCCCTCGCCATTGCGGCTAGGGGCCTAATGTGGCCGCGGGCACATTAATAACCGGCGCGGAGGCGCGTGCCCACTGCCCTGCGCCCCGGCGCCGCCACGCACCCGCCGCCCCACACGGGGCTCCCTCGCCTCTGCGCACCACCTGCCTCGAACCAGCACCGCGCTCGCCGCTTAACGACGACCATTGTTATATTTCATTCCATCAAAACTTTAATTTAGGACCCCGTCGGCCATTCGTACCAAACTCCCACCTTTATAAATGTAAATAATGTGACGTCCCGCGTGGTGAATTTATTTTACGACGCGTCGTTCCCGGATGGCGTGGCGGCGGGGCCATGAGCGCCGGTCGCCATCTTTGTTTTAAATTGGCAATTATTTATAGGCCCCGAGCGGAGCGGATTTGCATAACGCGCACGCAATGCACCGCATAAATTGGCCGGCGAACATAAATAAGCCACCGCCGCAGGGCCCGCTAATTGACCCTATGGCTAAGTGGACGCAGCTGGAGTGCTTTCGGTTCGATTTACAATTGTACCTGCGCGCCGGACGACGTGTTTATTAAGCATTCGCTTAGAAATACTTTATCGGAATTTTATACCGTTCTATTTATAACGCTGGTTTAAAAAGTGTATATTAACGAGGAAATCTCTTAGTGTACTTAATCTACATTTAAGCTCTAGTTTCTTTAACGTACCTTGAATTTATTAAATTACTAGTAGGTATATAAATCGGTCAATATACATATGTGTTATTTATAATTATAACTTAACCTGTTTAGGAATTTATTTATTCTTTGCAGTAAATATTTTTATCCTCTTAAATTATCTTATTAATCCTTTCTTCACAGCCTGCTACGAAGATCATTTTGGGTGTAGCTGGCGAGAAATTCGATTCACTGCTGTTGTATTTTAGTAATAATGGATCCGTATTGGTTCCAATAGACGAGCGCGATGGGAAAAGTAAACATAGCATACGGTCTTTAGCTTGTTGATGCAGAAATCGATCGGATAACGACTGCCAGGCAGACTGTAGTCGTACGAAGACAGATAAACGTACACTTATCAGAATAACTTGTAAACACATAAAAGCCACTAGGATTACAACTTGCATTCGCTTGCTGTTAACACTAATAATATGTAGGTATACATAATATACCGAAACCTCTCCCGAGTCTGTATTATGCATACGTTTTGCATAAAAACACGTCATTGTAAATGTTATTCCTAATTCCTACGGAGATATTTTCAAATTCAAATTTCATTGATTCGATCTCGGATAAAGTAAAGTTAGATTAATCTGGATTAAATTAATTCGAATCTCGACAGTATCACTATCGAAACGTTGCGACGCGATCTATTTAGCACTGGGCTATTTGTCATTTGGCGTCGGCGACGTTTCGAGACACGCACTGGTTGGAAATCCTTACGATTTTCCTACTTCTTGACAGTGTCTTATCGGTGGCCATTCACGGCGCATTGAAAAGTAAAAAAATTGCAACAAGTCAAGATTTTCAGCGAAAACATTATACAGCCAAACTAAATATGCATGAACGATTATAACACTTTTTTACATATTAAAACTAATAACACCTATAACTGCTATTAGTAATTATTAATACCCACTATTAACGTTCCTGAATTTTCCGTGTATAAAGGCAGTAGTTACTTTTAACAGATTGTATCTCCCGCTATAAAGAACTAAATTTTTCTTTTTACACAGGGTACGTCAAATACTAATACAAATAACAGTTTTTTGAGTTGATTACATGACATAATTATAGATATATATCATGGACAATAAACGACAAACTACTACTAAGTTACACATTTTTTTAAAGTGAAAACTTCTTTAGGCGCGATGAACGCGCTCTTTGTGTGAACAAAAATGATGGAACTCGCGTCATCATCACCGAACGCTTTCCATGTAATGCAATGTATGCAATATATATTTGTAGTTATGGATATGATATAAATACTGCTATAATCGTTCGGAGTGCCTATAAAATTTGCAGAATTAATTATTATACAATTTTAATTTTGATATTGTTTTTTGTTTTCACTTCTGTCGGCAGCCCCCCTACGTTTTATTTACTTTTTTTTAATTTTTAACAGAACGTTATGTTATGAGCATTTACTATTATGTTCCTTTTGGTAGGTCCACACAGCAGCTTTCACTGTTGCACGAGTGTTGCTCGTCCAGGGTAAGTCCAAGTACCACAACCTCATACAAGAGTATCGCGAAGTGTTGCGCTTCGTCTGGCAAGTGAGGTAAAAACCAAAACGTGCTAAAGTCAACTTTAAATCAATGTATTTTACAAGCTTTTAGTTTTAGTTTCACCTGTCCCGACTTTTGTCATCACATCTTGCAAATTAAATTTGACCCACTTCCCGGTTGCTGAAAGCTGAAATTTTGCACACATGTGCAAATTGCGTGACAATGCAATATATGATGAATGGCATGGTGCTCATCTGATGATGGACATAGGAATTCTGTAAAGAAAAAACGTATCCCCATCGAGTCCTGGTTCGTTAGGTTTATCTTGACGAGCGCTTTCGTGCTAGATGGTAACTAGGGTCTGACTATGGAGTTAGAAGGTGTGGTTGCAAAAAAATTATAATAAGGTATGCTAAACGTTTTTTAATGTTCCATAATAATGCAACACGCTTTTATTTACAAAAAAAAATTGCTATTAATATATTCGTATGTCTTCTTTATTTTTTTTTATGTGAAAAGTTGCCAAACGAGCAGAGGGTACACCTGATGTTAAATGAATACCGCCGCCCATGGACATCTGCTACACCGGAGGGTTTACAGATGCGTAGACAACCTTATTTGGAAATTGGGCTCCGGCTACCTCACTCACCAGACGAATCGCGAAAGTATTATACTTCCACTTTACACCGGTCTTCTGTGAGGTCGTGGTACTTACCCGGACAAGCCTGCCCATTCGTGCAACAGTGTCTTCCCTATAAATGTTAAATAGAGATAAATTTGTAATTTACGTGATCTCTAAACATACGATTACCTCTAGGGAAGGGTTAAGCAAATGTGTACAGTAAACAAAACTGTAAAAAAATTCTAAATTCCACTGTAATCCAGTGTAGAGGCGATCGATGCACGAACAAACGCTGTACACCCCATTTAATGTTATGACATAGAGAGTTTAGTCACATTATCGTGTAGATCGATAAACCCCTTGTCGTTGAGCGCTGATGAGATAAGATAAGGGCGGGCACATCTGCATAATGCCTCCACGGTTCCGACACCGGTAGCGGACCTGTCATTGCCTCACATTACTGTGTACTATAGAAATTGTTCCATGGTACATTAGTACGATTTCTGACCATTATATTGTCTTTTTACAATATTAACTGGTTGAATAAAACACAATTAAAGCGCCAAATAATCGCATAGGTGCATTAAAACCAAATGAAACCTTCCAAGTACCTAGAGATAAACAAACAGCCAGACAAAAAAAGTGGGGATACCAAAATGGGTGTAATAAAAACTGAGAAAATATAAAGATTATATTTTATTTCAAGTTGTCATTATAAATAAAATATAATTAACAATGTGAAGGTTTCATGGTAGCGTGGAATAAATGGTAGGGTAATGTATATAATATACACAAATACAATAAAAAAATACACACAAATAAATACACTTGTTTTGATAGTGAAGCAGATGATGTGTATATTGAAAATACTTATATATACCAGGAATTTTTCACAATTGCAAGAGCAAAAGTAAGACTGTTTTGTCTTATATATAAATGCTGCTTTTAATTTACATATAGAGATTCACTTACCCTAACAGCTTTCTAACATCCATGGGGAATTATGTGTAATCAATTTTGCTTTGTGATTTTATAACGAAAGATAAAATGTGACTGGAATGCAAATAAATAGAACAACTACGTTTTTCATTCATTATTAGATGAGTATTGATGAAAAGTGGGTGTAGACTGTAGATTGGAAAACTTAATACTCGAATAGCTAGCCATACCTTTTTTTATGCGAATAGTTGCCAAACGAGCAGACGGGTCACCTGATGTTAAGTGAATACCGCCGCCCGAGGGTTGCAGATGCTTTGAGAACCTTTTGAAAATTGGGCTCCGGCTACCTCACTCAGCAGACGAAACGCGAAAGTATTTGTCATACTTCCACTTTACACTGATCTTCTGTGAGATCGTGGTACTTACCCGGACGGGCCTGCCCATTCGTGCAACAGCCGAGGCTGCTGCGTGACCCTACCACCGTACCACCTATGTTTTGTTTTCCTTACTACTTACATACACTAAAATATTCTATATTATACACTCGGTTAGTCCAATTGTTGACAAATTCATGTAATATCGTTTAATCAATAATTTGAGGCTATGTATGTGTAGGTAGGGCAGAAGGACGTGAGCCGGGTAAGTTAGTCGGGTATCGAATATTTTCGCTCTTGTTATACTTGAAAAGTTTAAAGAGCGTGAGCGACCCCTTTTTTTGCGCTGGCTCGTAAAATGCGGCCCATTAGCAGCGGCATGTCGCGGGTCGCTTCTTTCGTCGCAACTGTGCACTTTTGTGACATGCGCCTTGTGGGACGCTTGAGCCGCGTCAGCTTTTATGAGCTGGTGTCGCGCCATTACTCAAAGAAAAATTGGTATATTGTTTTCTTCATTTTACGCGAATATTATACGTATTAAATTAAACAAGTTTACGGATTTTATCACGTTTTTAATTGACGGTAGCCGGGGTTAACTATGACATCAAGACGTATAACAACTTAGTCTGTCCCGTGACCATGAACGCTGGAAAGAGTTTGAAACGTCGGGAGTTCAAATCAAAATAAAAAAACACAATAAAATCCGTAAACTAGTTTCATTTAATAAAAAATTGTATATTTAATTATAGGCTGTTTTATTATAGTGTTTGGCTGTGATAGACTTACGCAACAGTCTTCGCTGTTGCATGAACATGTAGGTCCGTACGGGGACATATCACGACCTCCACAGAAGACCGGCGAAGAAGAAGGTGCTGGCGGGTACTAGAACGGGTTCGCTTGTCAAAGATGAGCCTGAAGGCATTTGCATTTCCTCGGGTGAGTGATGCATCCAGATTTGCCATAATATGTTCCTGCGTCTATGAGTGATGGCGTTGATAACTTACCATCAGATTTATCGGCTTTTGTTCAAACCTAT